TCAAAACCTTCCTCAAAAGTATTAAAAGCAGCTTAGTCCATGCAGAAGATCGGATCTTGGATGTTGAAGGCAAAACCTCTGACCTAGAAAAAGCAACCAAGAAAACTGAGAAAATAATCCCCCAAATGAGAATACTGTCCAAGAAATAATAGACACCATTAAGCACCCAAAACATCTGGATAATTGGTAACCCAGAAGATGAAGAAACTAATAAGGGCATTGATAATCTATTCCATGAAATCCTGGAAGAAAACTTGCCAAATCTAGAGAGGCATTCAAATATGGAGACCCAAGAAATATAAAGGGCCCCTAATAGAATCAACCCAAGAAGGTCTTCAACAAAACTACAGACAAAGACAAGATACTAAAATTGGCAAGAGAGAAACATCAGGTTACTTATAAAGGTTATCCCATCAGACTAACATCTGACCTCTCATTAGAAACAATGTGAGCAATGAAAGAATTGGAAAATATATTCAAAGTGTTAAGTGAAAAACAGTTTCAACCAAAAATACTATGCCCAGCAAGATTATCCTTCATATGGGAAGAAAAGATACAGAAATAACAGAACAAAAAGCAACCAAGAAAATGACCAACTTAATGCTAGAAACAATATCAACAATAACATTAAATGTTAACTGCCAGGATTTAAATAGAAAAGTTGGACCACAGTAACACTGCAAATTCAACAGAAGGAAGATTAATTATATAGGATTGAACTAGTGAAATTGAATTTATGACTTTTTAGTAAAACATTACTGTCCTTTTTCTTTACTATGGTTTGTTTCCCAAATTTAAGGATTTTGCTTTTTTTTGAGATGTTGATAGGTTAATAAATTTGTTGAAATGTTTTTTCTTCTTGTTTATTTCTTTAAATGGAAACATAAACTTTTCTCCCTTCTTGACCCCTCTGGAATTAGAAAATATTTGGGAGTATTCTTATTTTGTGGCAGAATGGTTATTTGCGTAAGTTCAATAATACCTGTTGCCTGGGAAAATGTAAATATAAATAAATAAATGATTAGAAAAGAAAAAAAATAAGTCACACTGTACCCCATACATATGTACAATTATTATGTGTCAATTAATTAAAAAAAGTAAATAAAATGCAGTGAAGAGCAAAAAGCCAAGAACACCCAAGATCATTACTATTATAGCTTTATGTCTGCTACAGAAGGTCTTACCACTTTGAATATATCAATACTTGTCTCAGTGGTAAACTGTCATTAGGGTTAACTTTGAAGAAGAATCACAGCAAGCAGCTTAATATGGCAGCACAGAGACCTGACCATAGAGCTACACAAATATGAAGCCTGGGTACATGAAGATAGTGGTGCTAGGATATGTAAGTAACCAGTCCATTTGGAATTGTCCTTTGTGAGAATGTGGATCTAAATTGATTTAGGTATTCTTTTTCCTATAGAAAAGTAGTTTTACAAAGTCTATGACTGACAGCTTGTAAATTATGGTACCTATTGTATGGAAATTTAATTTCATGTTTTTAGTGTTGAACTTAGCATAAAATACTATCTTTTTTACTTCAAGTTAGGGAAGAATACTAAAATAAAACACAAGAAACATGAAACCTAAAGAAAATTTTTTTCTTTAGATAGAGTTTCAATGTTTTCTTATAAAAGTTAAACATGAATAGGTAATTAGTATAATGGACAAAGGATACCAGCAGGCAATACACAGAAAATTGAAATGTCTAATAAGCATTCTTAAAACTATACTATCTCAGTAATCAAGGAAATGCAAATAAAACAACACATTGATTCTTAGTATTAAGTTTAGTATTGCCGATATTATGTTGAAGCTCCTATTTATCCATATCTTCACTAACTTATCAGGATGTTATTTCACAACTGTAAGATCTGCAGGTGCTGTCCACATAGAAAATGGCCCCTTAGAATGGAGGAGAAGGGATTGCGGCGTGACCATCGGGGGGTGATTTCTCGCTTTCTGTCTCTATGTCTCTCTCTGTCTGGCGAGCTCACGTGCCCTATAGCGAAAAACCTCTCAAAAAAAAAAAAAAAGAAAAAAAGAAAAGAAAAGAAAATGGCCCCTTATACTCGTTCAGTATGTGCCCTAGGTCTTACTGTGTTAGAGATCATTAGTGTTTATTAGCAGTGTTTTCTTTTCCTTCTGCACTCATACATGGTATGCTGCATAGCCCCTTTGGGAGGTTGTCACTAGTTCTGGGCAATAGGCTGGCAGTGGAAGTGCCCTGTTTCCTACCTGAGTATGACCCTTTCCTCTTGCACTTTCCTGGTCTTAGTGATGGAGACACCCAAATGGTGGGGGTGGTATAGCTACAAGATAGAACTCCCCATTAGCCTAGGTCCCTGACAGACTTCGGGGAACGGAGTCCCTTATCCACCCATTGTGGATATGTAATGTAAATGGGAAACATGTTTGGTTTGCCAAGTAAGATTGTGAAATAAATAAGTGATAAATAACCTTGAAAAGTTCCATGTGCAACCATAAACCTAAAAATAGACCTGTTGGTCAGTAATATAGAATCATGCACAAAATTGTCATGCCTTAAAAGCTAGTTAATGAAGCCTACCCATGCCTATCCTAGTTTTACATACATAAACAAAACCAAATGCTTCCTAAAAAGAAGCTCAGACAAGTAACTAATATTTACAATATATTGGATCATTGGAAAAGTCACGATGCATTTTTGCATAGAAAATAATGAGAAAATGTCATGACTTTTCTGATGACTCAATAGTTCATTTTCCCTTCCATGCTGTTCAATATGGTAGCCACTAAGTAAATGAACACTTAAAATGTGGCTACAGTGACTGAAGAAAGTAATTTTTAATTTAAACTAAAAAATTAAAGCAGTTTAATTACTTTTCAATGGAAAACTTTGATAAGATTGGTTTTGATTGTAATTAACTGAAAAATTTAGCATCAAAATTGAGTCCAACTATGATGATGCAGGCAGTAGGGCACTGCTGTGTGATAGTGGCCCTGTGGGAAGGTCCAGGGTTTAGATCCTGAACATGTCAGAAACACCTACAGGCATGTCTAAAAGGTTACAGGGAGTACTGCTGTGCAGCAAAAGCTGTTTGGGATTCTTGTCCCTCTCATTCCTAAGAAATAAACTGTAGGAAAAAATTTTAAACATGCTTTAAGTGTAAAGTATATACTAGATTTCTAAATTGTTAAGTTTGTGCATATGCGTATCTCAAATTTTGTTAAATACATATTGGGTTGTCAGGGAAGTCATGATGCATTCTTACATAGAAAAACACACCATAACTTTCCCAGAGACCTAGTATTTTGGCTGTATTGGGTCAAATAAAACATTTAATTTCACCTGTTTTTTACTCTTCAATATGGCTACAAATTGGCTCACAATTTACTTTTACTGCACAGTGCTGCTCTCGATTATCTATATTCCTTAGCAAGGCATCTCATCCCAACTAATGTACAGAATGGATGGAACTGTATTAAGACAATTTATACTATATGCAGCCATGATGCAAATAACCCTACATAGTGCAGAGATTTGTAGATATGGGTGTAACATGTGCCCATACATTTCCTCATTCATCCTCAACTAATCCTCAAGAACTAGGTGTTTTTCATTTTCCTGAACTTGTTTTACTATAGCATACTGACTACCACTTCCTAGCTTTATGGACCTGAAGTTGTTTCCTGCCCATTTTCCTATTTGTCACACTGTAGCCACCCCTCATAGTCTGTGTCTAATAAAGATCTCTTTTAAGGCTCTCATTGCATTTGATCTCTGCTCTCCTAAATACTGTCATAGACAATTTACTAATTTCAAAATAGATAAGCAGCCAAATTGCTGAACTTAAGTAATTAACATCTTTTCCTCATGATCTACCAATATTTATCTCTAGTAAATATGTATCTTTTCACTCCTTTGGCCCTGGAGTGTTGAGGAAATTAAGCACACTCTTGAAATATTCTCATACTCTTTCCTCTTAAATATAAGTTGAATTGGATGCAAGAGATCAATTGTTTGGATAGATTACATCGACATTGGAACTATACTCACATTGCCTGGGAACTCTTCCTTTCAAGGTACTCCCTACTTGGTAAGTGAGCATGAACCGCAGGGTAAGTGCCAGCATAACATTTTCTGCTGCCTCTGACCAGGGTAGGAAACTTAGCACTGCTGTCCAAACTAGCACTTCCTGTGAATTTAGGCCAAAGCAAAACAAGAGTAACCTGGCCTTGTACCAGTGTGTGCATGGTTAACCAGTAGGGCATCTAATTCAAAATTCTGCCTTGGTAGAATTCAAAATACCTGTGTTGTGTGTAGAAATGAAGCTTTTACTTTATGTGACTCAGAAATATACCATACAAGATAGGTGGTGTAATAAATAGTCACCTTATTTAACATCTGAAATGAACAGGCCGAGAAAATTTTATAGTTGCTTTATTTAACAAAATTTACGCCAACTTCTACATCTATATACAAACATGTTCCAAAACCAGAGCAGCAGACACACAAACTGTTAACACAGGAATTATGCTGAAAACATGTTACACCAAGATTTGTTTTCTGCTCATGTAGACATTTAAAGATTCAAACATTATTCCAAAGACTGAGCAGCATCATATCTTCATTTTCTGGGATGGCTTATACAATACATTCTAAAGAGAGGGATAGGACTTTTGAGTTAATACATTGTTTATGAAATTTCAATATACAGCACTTAGTCCACAATAGGAGCTCATAAAATGTATTAGATTGATGATTAAAAAAAAAACGGAATAAAATATAATCTACTAGAGTGTACTTTTGAATCAGTGTTTTTTGTTTTGCCATTTTTACTCTGTCTATATCATAAATATAACAAGATTGCTTCATTTCTGGTACCCAAAAGTAAGAAAATCTACTTTAAAAATGTTTAAAATAATTTTATTAGTACTATTAACAAAATGTAGTGACTGGAGGTCCTTCAAAACAAAGCTAAGAGTACACAAATACTCAACACAGTTCTGCCCCATTCTCTCCCTCCAGTTTTGATAGAAATGAGTTAATTTCATATCTACCTACCTACATCTTAAAAGGCTATTCTTGTAAATTATTTAGGGAAGATGGTCACTTTTTGCTTTCCCATTTTTTATGACTTCTAGGAACCCTCTTCATCCGTTAAAAAGTAGTGTAGTTCTGAAAATCTCAGAAGCTTTGCTACATATTCTGCTCACAAACTTCAACTCCATACAAGCACATAAGTTGTTTTAGGTAATACTTGGAAAATAGTTGATGCTGCAAAGAGTAAATATTTCATGTTGACATGTAACAGTCTGACCTGATTTATGGCCAACTCTAAGTCTAGTCTTTCAAGGAAAAGCTACTAAGCGGTGAGGTATATAGGAGAAAAAGGTTTTTGTTTGTTTTTAATATCACAGTCTTTTCTCCTCTCCACGTTTTAGGAGCTTTCTTTCATGCTGGAGAGATGCAAGTCTTTAACCTGGATAGAACTTCAGAATGCTCTCCTTTATGTAGTGAAGTGACACACAAGATCCATTTTCCAAAAAGCACCAAATAAAACTGCACAAGGACTAAATGCTGCAATAAAATTATCTACAGGAGTTTCTACCTGTGTTCCTATAAACCAGACCTCATCACTTACTGTGCTTTCATTTTCTAAAAATGAGATCAGATTATACAAATGTGTTCCCAAAATAAATTATTTCTAATATAAAAATGCTTTACATTTTTCCAGCCCACACTATCTTTTTACAAAATAAGAAATCAACAAGTTACTGTATTTTCATATGGTAAAAAATGTGTATACATACACACACACATAAAAATACAAATCCTAAATTTCAAGAGAAACCAATTAATCAATGTAATGATCTTATATTGAATTATACATAAGAAATGCTGATTATCTGTAATGAGAACCAATTAGAATTAATTACAGTCCCACTTAACTGAGGGAAATCTCTCATCTAAAACAAAAAACAAAAACCAAAAAACAAAAAACAAAAATTAGAATGCCTTCAACTGACAATCCAACAAGGTAAAAGCCGCTGGCACACTTTTCTCATTTCATACTCCCTCTCCGGCTTCATTCACTGCACCAATCTCCTAAAGTAGGAAGTCTCTGAAATGAATAAAATGAATCAGTGCTGCCTTGTGGTTGTGTCATCTGTGTTCTACATGAAGATCAGTGCCCAGCTATGTGAATTAGTGAGGAGTAAGATCCAGTCTTGAGCTACATTTACCAAGCCATCTAACTGCCCAAGAAACTGTCCCTATTCAGGAGAGGACAGGGCTTATTTCTAAGGTACACAAAAGTGACCAGTAGAGACTAGTAACAGTTTTGACATCTATTGCTAGAGAAATGATGTGGAAGGAGTATTAGTGGACTTGCTTTCTTAGGAAAGCCCAGTACAGGGAAAGCATGACTATGGTTCAGACAGATTAGAAACAGATCAATGAAAACCAGGAATAAGCATCCCTGGAACTTTAGCAAAGACAATGAGAGGTTTTAATTTTTTGCTTTCTGCCTGTTTCCAGTAGCTTGAGGAAAAACTTTATGGGACTTCAATGATATAGAAGGGTCAGAAAATGATCAGAGAAGCTGCCTTAGTCCATAAGCCCTGCTCAGAAAAAAAATGCACAGGGAGACTAGAATGTGATTTGGGAACAGTGTCCATAATTAATAATGATCAAGAAACATGGGCACTATCTATTCATGGTTTCTCTGGATGAGTTCCCAAATAAAACTGAGTCACATTAAACATTTCATACCTTCAAAAGTCTATGTTTAATAGCTTTTCAAGTGTCACTTACGTCACAAGACTGATCATTCAATTTTAAATTGGTCACTTAATTTATGTTTGTGGGAGTGTTAAGGGCAAACATAAAACTTAATTTTAGGTATTTTCCCTTTTTAATCATTTTCCCCCAAAAAAGGCACATTCCCTTACCTAAATCAAGACATTAAAGAAATCAAAAGCTAAATATTTGAAAATGTTTTCTTTCTCTAACACCCGTTGTTGAAGTAGTATATTCAGGCAAAGCCTTAGAATAATTCTTTAGAATTGTCAACAAGAGCAAAATTACATTATATAAAACACCAAGTATTACAGACTGGGGGAGAGATGAAAAAGAAAGGTCATTTTTCAATAACCAAATGCAAGACCACTAACAAAGTAGAAAATATAATTTTCATTATGTGCCAAACATTCAGAAAAAAAGTTAAAGTAAAAGCAAAGTGGATGTGCACACCAAACACAGGTTTAATTTTCAGTAGCATTTACAGAAAGACAATGTGTAAAACATTCTAAACTCATCCTTCTGAATGAATTACAAAGATTCACATCTACTCAAAATAAGGGGTACTAAATAAAGGTCTCATATATCCCACTAACAATTTGTTGAAAGTTTCACATCCTCTCTCTAGAAAAATGTACATCAATTGCTGTGTACAATTTCAGGGGCTCTGAATACCTCCCAGGGACCAGGCACATTTCAGGTTAATGCAGGGTCCTGGCTCTTAAGATTTCAATGTATATGTGAGGGGGGGTGGGGTGGCGGAAGAATTAACAACATTCTTATTCTTACAGTCTCTATTTCCCCTATCAAATCTTCAGTAGGGAACCCAAACAAGAATAAACTAACAAAACAAAACTAAAACAAAAACAAAACTACCCCCTTCCCTTACTTCAAAGACCAATATTTTACTTATTTGCCTTTGGAAGAAAGAACATCCCAATCTCTAGTTGCTTCTATCAAATGGCGTTGGCCATGACTCATCCATTCTTCCTGGTCTTCATATAGCCGCCCACAAAACCAGCATTTAAATATACACTGTGAGGAATCATCAGGCAAGGAATCCACCACCTGGTAGTTGTTTTTATGGACTTTTTTAAGTTTCATTTTCAACATCATTTGCCTTTTAATTTGGTTGACTTCATCTACATTTTGGTAGGTTAGCCGTACATGATGCCGTCTGATGCCTAGCTGACACCTAGTCCTCTCTGATAAAACAACTTTGAGGACATTGCCTTTGTACTTATTTATTACCTTCATTACATTGGTTACTTCTGGTGAATCAACATCAGGATGGTTTAACACAATGACTGGCTGGTTCCGACGAGGGCATTTAATCAACTGATCTGGTTTGGCTGCGATCAGTCGAAGTTGTCTTGCAACCTGAAAAATTGAAGGATCCTTGAGGCAGCGGCTGGGATCACCCTGATTTTTGTTTTTCTTCTTGGATAAGTTTATTTGTTTAGTTTTATTTCTACTTATAGGAAGATTTCTGGAAAGCAGTTTCTCTTGTTTACTCAGTTCACTGCTTCCTGGCTGTCCATGCAGGGGGCCAACTTTTCTAGGTGTCATGCTACAGACAGCACTCTCTTTTCTTTGTTTAGGTCGAAGAGATGTTTCAAGATTTTGGGACGTAGCTACTGGCTCACTTTCATTTGTCAAAGGCTGTAAGCCTGAGTCATTCTGTTTCACAGGGCAGAATGGAACTGGTGTAATTAACTGTGTTTTACTGCAAGGTATACTGACAGGCGCTTCACATGTAGCTTCTATAATGTGGGCATCCTTAGAGGAGTTAAGAACTCTCAACACGGCTCCTTTGGGAATCAATACTGGAGTAGCAACACGTGCCTTCCTGTTCACTCTTTCGATTTTCCCATTGATGCCATCTACATATTGTGGGTATATTTGCGGATGAGTGAGCTGTTCATTGTCAGTAATACCATCATTATGAGGTTTCTGGAGAGTAGTTGTGGAATGGCCAGGGCCAGTAAATGACACATTAATTTCATGAATACCTTCAGGAGTAGCTTTTGAATTTGCCTTCGAAGCCTGTGCTATGGAACGACGATGTGCGTTATTTGCAGCCAAAGATGATGGCTTGCCACAGGATTCAATTAACTGAGCTATCTTTCGGCGTAACAGTTCAATTGACTTTATTTTGGAGGTCGAACTATTCCACTTAATGCCCTCTGGAACATTTTCAGATCCAGAGCTCAGGGAAAATACTGATGAGATCACTGGGCCATCAAAAGTGTCATTTGTCCTTTCAGAACTGTTTAATTCCAAAGCCTTATTTCCAGGTTGTTGAGATCTAATTCTATCTTCTCCAGTTATGTTTATATGTAAATATTCACTTTGATGTGGAGAGGAAATCTGGCCTATATTTGAAACTACCTTGTGTTCTTCTGTCTGGTTATCTTCCAACTTCCTAGTAGAGGAAAGCATTTTTACAGGAATGTTCATCATTCTTCTAGATTCCAAGTCATTTTCACTTAAGGGCAATAAGCCCTTTTCTCCAGAGAAGGAAAAGGCTGTAGATGATGCAGCAAGAGGGAGTAACTGCTGTGAATCACTGTGCAAATTTCTTGCATCTCCAGAAAAAGAAACAGCAGCTTTATATGGAAAAGAATTTGATGCAGTTCCAAGACTACATAAAACACTGTTTTTTACTAGAGATAATGGAGAGTGACCTTTTAAGGCAATGGAAGAAAGAGCAGTTCTATGTGGATAAACATTTTTTTTCTGTGAATCCTCAACTGTATCAGAATTGAGAAAGGATTCTCCATGGTTGTACACACTAGAATTTGACATAAAAAAATCACAAGACCTTACCCATTTCACAGTTTTAACTTGTTTCTGAACTGAAGATTGAAGATTATCAATGCCGACAAGTCTTCCCACATTTCCTTCAAAAGTTAGAGACTTTGTTTTTTCTGCAGAAACTATTTTTTCTTGTTCATTTGAACCTCTCTGTTTAGTCATACGCTCAGAATCAACTCTATCGCTCCTACCAGCTTCAAGACAATTATTTTCTTCTAGAGGAAACAACTTTAGAACAAGTTGCTGTGTACCATTGACAACTTTCACATCTATCAACTGGGCTAAACAGTTTGCAGGGACAACTAGTTCTGCTGGTGCCACAACTGTCAATGGCATACCTGGTTGAACAGGTTCCTTTGCAGGGGATAATACTTCCACCTCAACATTTTTGTTCTCTAACAGACTGACTTCATTTGACTCAGATATGGTCATTTTATTTGGAATACAAACTACATCTTTTTGGTATTCCTTTGACTCAGGTAACAACATAATATTGTGCATTTTGTCTTTATTTGTGTGAAGAGAATACCTTGACAGTTGATCTGACAACTTATTCTGAAATGTAGTCCTTAGACTGGAAGCTTTTAAAAGCTCTGCATTTTGTTTTGAAGTGCTGCTTTTTTTCGGCTCTAGCTTAGCAACAGATTTGAGTGGCCGTTTTGCACCAGCCCTCTCATGTACTCTCTTCCTGTGTTTGACAATATAATCATTTCGAATAGCACCATAGTCACAATACTCACATTTATAAGGGAATATACCTGTATGTTTCACCAAATGCCTCTGAAACTCTCCTTTTGTGTATGAAATGTAGCTGCAGTGAGAACAAATGAATTTAATCTCTTCATGTTGAAGTGTGTGCTTTTTGTACTGCAGAGGGTCCTTCGTGGAAAATCGACATTTATCACAGTAATATTTGCCTGGCTTGAAGTTCCTTACCTTGAATTTGTTATTGACAGAATTTGAGATGGTTTCAATTTTATTTCCAACATGAGAAGCACTGGGATTACTGTTCATAAAATGAAAACGGGGGGGAGTCACACCAAGGTTACACTGAAAGCAGACATATTTGTCCTCCTTTTGGCTTTCCCCAGTGCCCTTTTTCAAATCTTGAAGAGGAATTTTGTGAACACTTTTGCATTTTACACATGTAGCAATGGTCATCATGGCAGCCTCTGCCTCTGACCCTTGATATAGAAGGGTGTGTACTTCCTGCCTATCTGGCCGAGTTGCTCTATTAGCATTAGGTTGTTTGGGTGACATGGTCAAGGAATTATGTCCACCATTTACTTGAGTAGTATACAACTGCTGCCCAATATCCTTCATTTTCTTTATCTGCATTTCTAAAAAGAGCCAATTGAAATTCAGAAATACTTCACAGGACAAATTCCTTAGAAGACATCCTTCAATGTGTTTTATGATTAGTAGAGAAGCAGGTATTTCCTGGGAACATCCTTAATTATCTTTCTTGATACACTCCCACAGTAAGTGCATGATTCCAATTCTTTGCTATTCCAGGCAACACTAAGGGAAAACAAAATTATAAAGTATGATTAAAACAAGAAGTTACATTTTAGCTATTACAAAATCACCCTATGTTTTGATGACTGCCTAGGAAATTTTATATTAAATGTAAAATATGATCTCAGATACATGTGTTATTAGTAATAGAGCACAACACAGTTGGCAAATAAGTCCAAACTGAAGACATTTTCTAACTCAGCCCTCCCACCAGATCACTATAGACCAACCATGACCACACATATACTGGGACTAAGAGTATCAGAGCAGCCATTTAGAACAGCTTTTGATCAGTGAAAGTGACTTTTAAGCATTAACTGAGCACATCTTAGCAATTTCACTAATATAATTTCATATTACCTCACAGGAAACCTTTTAGAAGACATTATCAGTTCAGTTTTTCATAATGTTAATTATCAAGTGGTAGAGCCAGGGTTTCAGCCCAGGTATTCACATGTTTCTACATTATAGTTTATCAGCCTGGATACCAACTCTTATTCACACACTCAACTTGCTACCATACAAGAAGTAAGCAGCCAATGATATTAAAAGTATTAATCAAATAATTATTCCTTCAAAGTCTTACTGAGCATCTTTCATGTGCCAGGAATTACATTGTAAGAGCAATGAACAAATGCAAATCAGTCTCTATTGTCATAATGAATACCCTATATATATTTATATTCATTTGTTCAATGTTGGCAAGATAATTAATTACCATAAAGCAATACAAGGAGGGTAGGGAGCTCATAAGTGATGAGGTTGTAAGACTGTGGTATAAGGACAGACAGGAAAATGTAATGCTAAGTTAACACTTGAGCAAAGTCTGGGGGCTGCCAGGGAGTAAGCACTACGACTATGAGGGAAAAGGGCAGGTTATGCAGAGAGAAGGTAAAGGTCTGTAGGAAGTAAGAAGGAATGACACTTGATGAACACTAAGGAGGCCCCAAGTCTAGAGGGAAAAGCAAGGAGTAGGGAGAGGGATACACATGGTCAGAGGGAAAGGGAAGACTGATAAGGAAAGATTACCAGGGAGAGAATGGAGCAGTTGCATGACATGATCTGATTTATATACCAATAACAGCCCCTGGCTTCTATAAAGACAAGAGTTTGTGTGGTTAAGATCATGATAATAGGGAGGCCATGACTGGCTTGGATTGGGGCAGTACAGATGACAAATGTTTTCCTAGAGCTAGTAAGTATTCCAATACTCACACGTGTCATGTGTAACACAGTAACTAATACTTATATAATCTCTAAATACACTTTTTTTTGGGAAACATGCAGAACTAGGAGCCAAAAAAAAAAGTTCTAATTCTGGTTTGGGATCTGCTCAAAGCCTTTCTTTTATTACCTCAAGGTGTCACTTAAGGGACCAGCAGATGACATAATGGTTACCTCGCTGAACTCTCACATATTCGACTGAGGTTTGAGTCCTGGACCTGGCAGCTTAAAACCCAGGCCAGATCTGTGTGAGTGTGCCCAAAATCGTGAGAGGAGAATGGAGGAGAAGGGACTGCAGCGTTGCCATCCTTTTGGGGGGAGTGGGGGGATTCTTACTTTCTGTCTCTCCAGCAAACACGTGTATATAGCAAAAATCTCTCTTAAAAAAATAAAAAGGTACTTAAATTGTCAAAACCTCAATTTTTTTCCTCTGGCAGTTTGAATTAGGACACTTATCCAATCTCTCTCAGAGCCACAAAGATTTTTTTTTTTTTTTTGAGAGGGCACATGCGCATGCCAGAGAGAGACAGAAAGTGAGAAATCATCCCCCCCTCCCTGGCCATGCCGAAATCCCTTCTCCTCCATTCTCCTTTTAAGAGGGCACATGCGCATGCCAGAAAGAGACAGACAGAAAGTGAGAAATCATCCCCTCCTCCCATGGCCATGCTGCAATCCCTTCTTGTCCATTCTCCTTTCTTTGGCACGCACGCACACATGCCCGGTGTGAATTTAAGCCACCGGGTCTGGGACTCGAACCACGGTTGACTACATGGGAGTTTAGCAATACAGCCATTATGCCAACTGCTAGTCCTGCCACAAAAATGATTAAAGTTCTAAAGAGTATAGGAAAATACTTCTGAAAGTTTAAAGTCCTTCTAAGTATCAAGAGGCACATTGGCAATCAGTAAGTGTTTGTTCAATGAGAGGCAGCAATACCAGAGAGAATAACAGTTTCTTTCTGGCACAGTGCTTAGCACTGTGCTAACAGGCCAAGAGCTGCACAGTGGTCTGAAAACACAACCTGAGGGAGCAAAAAGGTCTCCCTGGAGGGTCAGGGACCTGTTATAAAATCTATCCCTTATAAGCAGATTTGGAGCCAGTGTGTGGTATAGTGGTTAAAGATGCTGAATCTCACATGGCCAACTATTCAGTCTGAATCCCAGACCTGTAGCTCAAGAAACACACTGGATACATGTGTGCACATGCCCAAAATCCTGAAAGGAGGAAGAAAAGAAGGTAATTGAGAGTGACCATTCCCCATGGGAGGTAATTCCTCACTTCTGGTATCTATCTCTCTCTTTTCTGTAAGTGCCTGCACACTCTGGCAAAATTAAACAAACAAACAAAACACAGATTTGGAAAGCACCAAAAGAAACTATGCTTGATGACAAACTGTACTCTCATTTGCAGTGTTGTTATTTTACTATTCTGCTTTTGTGAAATATAATTACCTTTGAAAAGCAATTTCTATTATGCAATCAAGCCCTGATGATATCTAGGGACTCAATTAGACTTGTCCTACCACAAATGTAGGTAATACTTAGACATCAGGTAGACAGAGGTTTGTGGGGTTACAAGGTCCTGCACACTCCTACGGAAGGGGACCATGATTTTGGACAGAATACATGAATGCTTTGAACTGTCAAAGAGGTAAGCCAGGGCAAAGACAAGAGCTTGCTTATCTAATGCACACCTGATGACAGGTGGAACTTTAAGGAGTCAATAAAAGCTAACATGCACTTTATTTTCCAGAATTCTCAAGCATCTTTAGTGAAAGAAGACAGAAGTTACATCTAGAACTTCTGCTACTAATCAAGTGACCTCAACCTGCCCATATGCATCTGCTTAATCATCTCTAAAATAAAAGGCTGGACTAAGCTCAGCCTGACACTGCTGATCCTCGAGTTACAGACTTTATAATCTAAGAATGCTACTATTACCAAGATGGCATTCTCGTCCAGCTAATAAAGGAGCAACAGCTACAACTTGAGTCCAAGAAAACCACCAGCCCAAAGAATAAAAGAGGCTTAACATGGATAATAAAAAAAATCCTGTCCAGTGGCTCTCAATCTGGAGGAGCTTCAGCATCACAGCTAAAATTCCGAAGTGAAATAATCTAAATATCAGAAGGAAAAAAAGGCAAAGATACATTTTGGTTTTTAATAGCACCCCAGGTAAACCTGGGTTGGATGCATGTACATGAAAAGTCAGCACTTAAAACCACTGGCTGATGCTCCTAACAACATTTAAATCCTTAGACTATCTTCACCAACTAATAACCATGCAGTCAATGCTCTAATAGCATCATAAACAGAAAACTCCTTCCCTCTTTAGGCAGCTCATTTTACTCTCATGTAGTTCTCATTGTCAACTATTTACCCTTAAATGAACTGAAATTGGCTTTCTTCTACCTTGGCACAGGAGTTACCAAAAACAACTGAATCCCTCTTGGTAGGTTATTAATCTGTACATTTTTCTCACTCAGATCTTAGTTCTCAGTTATTCAAAAGATTTATGTATCATATGGTAGATGGTATGTATATCTGTGCTGTCATAGCCCAGCCTTATAATCCCATGTGTGAGAGAGAGGAAGAAAGAGAGAGACAAAAGAACAACTAACCAATTATCTTGCCTGGCACAACTCATTACTGTTTTAACATAACACCTTATATGTAAACCCTAAAAAATTCTAAAATCATATGACAAGATTCCTTTTAGAAGAATGATCCAAATAAGGATTCTGCCTGTACAATTTTGGTTTTTAAGTACCTATACCAGTTTCAAATATTTAAAAATTACAGAAGGCAGTTTTGCCATTTTTTTCTCTAAGTCTTTTTAAAACTTAGAGGGTGTCATTTCTTGTACACTGAAAACTTGAAAGACAAAGATAAGACTTAATAAGACTGGGTCTATCAGTAAGAAGCAGAATGCAGGGACCAGGAGATGGCATAATGGTTACATCGCTGGACTCCCACATAGTCAACTACAGTTCAAGTCCTGGACCCAGAGGCTTGAAACTCATGCCAGGCATGTGTGCGTACATGCCTAAAATACCGAGAGGAGAATAGAGAAGGGATTGTGGTGTGGCTATCCCACCGGGGGGTGATTTCTTGCATTCTGTCTCTGTCTCTCTGAAAAGCACAGGTGTCCTATAACAAAAGGGGGTGCCTAAAGGAAAACAAAACCAAAACCAAAACAAAACGTGGGGCACATCCCAATGGAGAAAAGTCTCTAGAGAAGTATCCAGGTCAAGAATACTACCTGAGGAACAGAGTCCTCTTTGAGGTGCCTCTGCAAAATTTGCTCAGCAGTTTTTATGAATTAAGAATATAGGTGTCAATAGGGGGTATGAGACTGTGATTAGCAAATACATTTTAATAGGGAAGGAAGGACATCTGGTCCATGACCACATTATGTAATCTGTTTGAAAGTATCTTCACAGTATCTGAACTATTCTCAAAATAATGCAATGTTACTACATTTTCACTTCTCTCAGTCTGGGTCAAAAAGATATGAGGTTCCTTCAAAACCATGCAGATGTAGTCCTTTTAAGCCTTTGAAACTTGTGTGGCTAGTGAAAGGAGAAAATGTATCTGAGATGAACTACTCCAAGACAAAGGTAAACAGATGGAGCAACATGGCAGAATGAATATGGCTTTGATGATGGTTATTTATACACTGACATGCAACAGGTTCATCTGAACAATGGGTACATAAGCCCCTGTTCTTTTCATACAACTGCCCCCATTTGGTTCACATCCAAGGACCTATGAAGCTGACTAGCTGCCCAAAGGACTGACGATCAGGAATTACATAAGATGCTACAGATAAAAGGCTATGTATGGATGTGCCTAAGGCTGAAAGGGCACTCAGTAAGTGAAAGTTAACTTCAGTGTCAGTTCACCCACCTTTTAAACTCACAACTCTTACAAAAGGCTCTGCATCTGACTCCTAAGATTAGAAACATACATTTTTTTTTTCTTTCAGGTAACTTAAGAAGGCTCTCAAAGAGAAAATATTTGGTATACCAACCTATGTCACAATAAGATGTCCACTTAATATTAAGTTGCTGTTTTCTGACAATTATTTGACAGCAAACAGTGGGCTTTTTAGTGTAGAATTAGCTATGGCATCAGTCAAGGGTGACTATCACCCACCAAAGAGAAGAGGCACAGAATGTCAAAGATAAGCTCTCTGGACTGTCTTGTTATTCCTCAAAGGAAAATCTGAGAAAAGGTCTAATTACACTCACTGTCAATGATTTGTGAACTCAATTGCCCTGATTTCTTAAAGACCTCTTATACAGACCTCTGGGGAAAGATACTGAGTTTGAAAGAAACCAGTTGAGTAACATTGAGGGCTATAAAAAACACAAATGATTATTTAAGCTCTTATTAAAAAAGAAGCATTTAGCTTTTTTGCTGTAGAGCATGTGAGCTTGCAGGAGAGGAACAGTGGCAAGGGGAAGGGAAGGGGAGGAGGGAC